GTTGTCTAATCTGTGGAATAAATTTTTCTGGTAACTTTCACCAGCTCTGAATTTTTGGGAGCTCTAACATGAATTTTTTTTTGGGGGGGAGGGGTCTTTCATTCATGCTCTTTTTCAGTGTATGCTTCTGCATCATCTATTCGGGGATTTTTCGGTCTTGATTTTGCATCATCTATTTGGGACTTTTTCGGTCGGGATTTATATTCCTTTTCGTCAGGCTAACTGATATCACTCCTTATTGTAGAACGTCATCAGCTCCATGAAACTCTACCATTACCATCAGTTAATTGATCCTTTTGTCTGCTTCAAGTTGGGCCTTGTAGTCCTTCATTTTCTGCTTGGCTGAGGCTTTATAGTATAACCCTAAAGCTAAACTGCTGCAAATCTGCAAATAAAATAAAGTTGTCGATTCAAGAGAACTGAGCTGCGTTTAACATTGACAAGTTACCTGTTCGAAGTGGCCTTAAGAGTAGGCATCACATTTCTTTTATCTGTGCAATGGAAAGAAAAAAAAAAAAAAAAACTTTTTGTAGTTTGGTGGCAGCAAAAATAATCACAAGACAAATTTGGAGAATACGTGCGATGACTGACTATACAAACTTATTTTTTTACAGAAGCAGCTCTATATGATTGTTAATCACTGGAAAGGTACATATCATGCAATACCGCAGATTTGGAAAGTAGTGCTTTGAACTGAATAACATAAGATTAAAAATCATCTGTTTAAGTCATTTACTCAACCAAACATTGAAAATTTGCAGAATTGTTTTGGCCCCTTGCAGTGTAAGATAAGCTAATAGCTAATGTAAAAGACTTCTTTTTAATCTTCTCAGAATGCAGAGAAATCATCCTCTGATCTGTAGCTTAGATTCCAAGAACAAGTAAAGGAATATAATAACAGCAAATGTAACTGAAAATTCATTTGCCGTATGGCATGATAGTTTACAAAGCAATGCATTAACAAAACTTAAACTGAGATTTTTGTGTCTGAGAATATACACTGCTGGCCACCCAAATTGAAACACCAAGAAAGACAAGAGATATCACAACAAAATTTATCTAGTAGATAACATGTTGATCAAGTATCAAATGATTAAATTTATAAACTTCTGTGAAGTGTAATTCCTTCCAGCATCAGTAACCAGAGCAGCCGCCATTGTTGGAGATCACCGCTGCCACATGCCTCGGCATTGATTCAAAGAGATTTTGGATGTATTCTTGGGGTACAGCAGACCAAGCAGCTTTCACATGTTGCCAAAGTTGATCTGGTGTAGCAGCTTGGGATGTAATCTGGGTCAATTGTTCAGCAACTATGGACCACATGCTTTCTATCGGCAAAAGATCCGGAGAGCGAGCCGGCCAGGGAAGCAATTTAATCTGGTGATTGACGAAGAACCCTTGGACAATGCGTGCCACGTGTGGTCGCGCATTATCCTGTTGAAATAGGGCTGTGGGCAAGCTCTGAAGGTAAGGAAGGACAACTGGCTCCAACACCTCAGAGATGTAGCAATAGCTGTTTAAAGTACAGGCAATGCGTACTAGAGAAGAGCGAGAGTGATATCCAATACTGCCCCATACCATAATACTCAGTGCAGGACCAGTATGGTGGTACATAACGCAGCTCTTCAGCATCCTCTCTCCACGGCGTCTCCAAACTCGAATCCAACCATCGTGGTGTTGCAGACGGAAGCATGACTCGTCAGTAAAGATAATTTCATTCCATTCTGCCGTCTACATCCTTCTTTCATCTCACCATTGGGGGCGGAGACGTCTGTGGTTCTGCGTCAAGGGTAGGCGAAGCAATGGACGTCTTGCAGACAGACCACTCTGCTGCAAACGGTGTCGAATGGTACGTGCAGACACTGCATGATGTTGTTACAAACTGAATGTACTGTGCTGTGGTTCGTGATGTGACTGAGCGATCCATCACTGCCATGCACACAATGTTCCTGTCATCACGTGAGGTGATTCACTGAGGTGGGTGCGATCGAACACATCGGTCCATTGTATATCCAACAGTCACACATCCACATTACAGTTGTTTGGTTTCGTCCAACATGACTACCGATTTCCCTGAAAGATAATCCAGACTCTCGGTAGGCCATTATCCTTCCTCTGTCGAACTCAGATACTTGATCAGATGATGATCGCTGTTTACAATGAGGCATAATTCATCGTGTTTTTTTTTTGAAAAAGAAAACAAGAAAAGCACAATTTCCGATAGCGCTTTGAAGTGGCACCACAGACGTGCGGGATGTGTGTCTGCACTGAAATTCTAATCATTTGCATATCTCACCTCCGCTAATGCATGTTTAAATTTCATGTTATTTGCATGCTTCCTTCAGGGTGTTGCATTTACGGTGGCCAGCAGTGTATTTTAAGTAAATTAATTACTAAATTAATTTAAGCAGCTTCTATTTCTAATTTAGGAGGGCCCCATCAATTACTGACCGCGGCCCACCAGTGGCTGAGCAGTAAAGTCGCTGAACACTGGTAGTTTGGTCCGAGGTTCGAATCCCGCAAACGGGCTGGCTGCATGGGCGTTTTCAGGGTTTTCCCCATGTGTAACGTGTATACGAGTCAGTTTCTCTTAGAAAGTCCTCCACGAAAGCATCCCTATCCTTAGGCAGATAGCCCTAGTGTGCTTTGCCATAATTAAACAAACCAAACCAAACCAGACCAATTACTGACCGCATAAAGACTACTGAATATTGAAATTTCATCCTGGGTTCAAACCCAGGTGAACAGCCTGGCTGCAGTTTTGTAGTTACCCTATGTGTAATATGAATGGGAACCAGTTTCCCTTAGAAAGACCCTCCATAAAAGCATCCCTTTCATTAGGCTGATAGCTTTTGTGTGCTTTGCCATATTCAAATAACCTAACCTAGAAAAAGAGAAATTTTGAAAATTTAATTTAACCCAGTTTAAAATCAAAACACTGTTGAGTTTTTTTTAATGATGAATAGTCTTTGATTTTAAAATAGTGCAGATATGAATATTATTAATTCATGTATTTATCAAGTGCCTATACATACGTAATAACGAATCTTAAGTTCTTTGAATAATTCCCTGCTGTATTTGTTTGGATATAGCCATGAAAAGTATATTCAAATGTGTGACTTTTTACATGGACTTGCATGTAGTGCTACAATCTATATTCATATTCTGACTTTCTTTCTAGAGTAATTTAGGAACTGATACTAGTATTAAAAAAGTTACACAATGTGGAATATCTACTGTTACAAATTGTTTCATATGTAGTATGTGTACAAGCCAATTTACCTTAGAAAGTCATCCACAAAATCATCTCTTTACTTAGGCAGATAGCCCTCAAAAGCTTTGCCAGATTAAAATAAACCAACCCAGACCTTTCATATGTAGCATTTTGAGATAGCAATAGTAATTGGTTATGTATTTTAAATTTTATTTTAATTGTAGAATAAAGCTCTTTAAATACATAATAAAACAAATTTAATTTACTTACCATTAATCAATATAATTTTTTTCAGAAATTACTAAAGTAGTACTGAATTAGTATAGTTTTGGTACAACAAGTTACGTATTTTAAGAAACTGAATCATTTTAATTAATCAATTACTTTTTTAAAATTTTGTTTTCAAAACCAACTTTCTGAGTTTTAGAAAATTAAATTTAAATGAAGTTAAAGTAAAAATAGCAGAAAATATTCACCATGTTTACTTTAACAAACATGGAAATAAAAAAAAAAAAAAAATTAAAAAATTATTAATTATACATTCATTAATATTCTTTATAATTAAAAAAATTGCTTTCCATGCATTATTAATAAATATATATTTTGTATCATTAGTAAAAATGAGAATAGATTCCATATGAATAATTCTCAGTAAAAATTTATTTTGAAATTTGTGGGAAGTTCAAAATAATTGTGGCAATTTATTGAAGATTGTAACAAAGTGCATAACTCACATTTGGGGTTTTTATCGCTTATAACAAAGATGCCAAATTTTGAAAGCCATGAATTTATAAATTCGCATTTATCTTCGGATTTTTTTAATAAAATCTCTGATGTTCTGCATATTTGCCTAGAAATACATCTACTTTAAGCGGATGTAACAATTATCAGTTTTAATTCAAAGATATTTTTTTTTTGAAAAACTTATAAAAGTTATTTAGAAGTACAGATCTTTCAAATAAATCAGAAAAAAAAAAATGTGTACAACCTGTCTTCTATTTCTGTCTTTTCTTCCCCTTCCCCCCCAGAATTCTTTTTCATTATTTTTATATGCAAAACTAGTTTATCAAATGTAAAAAAATTGCATTAATCAGTCAGTCTACTGTGTACAACTGATATAGCTTGATCAGTATGTGTGACTGGTGAATCTAGGATTTTTGGCTGGCCCAATTAGTATAATTTTTTTTTTTTTTTCCTTTATCTGAGCATGTGCTTTGATTCTAAAATGAAAGTTTAATTTTTAAATGGTTATTATAAGTGATAATTGTGCTTTAAATTAGAATATATGTAATCAAATATTTTTTAAAAAGACATAATCAGCATTTTCTGAGCTATGAGAGTGATTATTTATATGCTTAGTGATTACTTGTATTATGAATCAGGTTCCTAAAAAGTGTGTATATCAGGTAAAATGTATGAAATAATAAATAGACCTGTAATAAGATGAACATTTGTGTGAGAGACATGACAAGTATCGTAAGTGTGAAATTAAGTATCTTTTTCCTATCATATTGAGGAAAGTTGAATATTAAATAATAATAAAAAAATACATAGCTTGTTTAATGTTACAAAAATTTTGCTTCAAAGTTTAAATTGTTATGATTTACTTTCAAAGAATGTTAAATTGTGTTTGAATTAATAATGTTTATTCCAGAATGTTATAAGAATATATTCTGTTAAAAGAAGGTAGAATTAAATTTTTCTGATTTATTTAATTATATTTCTGATTTATTTGCTTTGCTTAAATATTAAGATTCCATTATTTTGATTCTGCTTTAATCTCTAGTTTAAAAAGGACATTTTTGCTAGTTGATGGTAAAGTTGGTTTCCAGAAATGGGATGAAGTGGCATTAGATATACTGGAAGACTTTAAAATTCCATATGGAGTAAGTGTTTTTATTTGTTTTTGGAAAAGCAAAAATTATTACTTTTTTGTTGAGAACATTAGTTACTGTGTTCAGCTCATGATTAATCAGGCTGTGGATGAAGTGGGCAAAAAAAGTTTCTTTATTAACCGATAATGGAAAATTTTCTATCACAAATCATTAGCATAAAACAAAACTGTCTATATAAAAATTTTTTTAAAAGTTGCATGTGAAAGCAGGTGATGTCATAGAATATAAGGTTTTTTTTTTTTTAATCTACAGTAGTACTTAATTTAATTATGCACAATCAGTAATATGTAGACATTGTTAAATCATCTATTAAAAACAGCGCTCATTCACAAAAATAAATAGAGTATTTAATCTTCCATTTCACTGATGCCTATCAGAATGCAAGAGTAATGTAAATGACTACAAGTGGTGAGGAAGAAGCAGAGAAAGAAAGCTCAAGAGATAGAAACTTTGAATATTGTTTCATGTAGCTAAATAAACTTATTTCTGCTGATTAAATTTCTTGAAAATGCAAAATAATTTCTGATAATATTTTTTTGTTAATTATAATATGGGTTATTCTTTTGCCCTGCACCTTTAACTGCCTTCAGACTAATCATAATTTTCAAGTAACATACATATTATTCCTGATATTATCACAATTAAATGGAAGTTGAATGTTCTCAAAATATGCTGTAACATTTAAATATATAATAAATGTGCCACTGATATGCAGTTGATTTTTAAATTTTTGTGTTTAGCTTATCATTCATTATTTATTTCAGCTTATTATGACTAAAATTGACAAAGCTATACCATCTCAAAGATTAAGGAACATGTTATTCCTTCAACAAATAAGAAACAAATATACATCAGTTCATTGTTTTCCACAACCTTTTATGATCAGGTATTCTTTATTATTATGCATCATTTTTAATTCTTATTCTTGTTTTAGGAACAAAATTGTAAAATTTTATTATTATCTTGATTAGTTTATTTCATTTTTCTGTAAGTTCACACATAAATTGATCATGTATGCAAAAGGTATTTTAAAATGTATTTTTCTGAAGAAGGCTCAACCTTTAAAAAGCCACTGAAAATACTGTATCGTAATTAATCAATGAATTACCTGTATTTTGTTTTAAACATAAATATTTAGTTTATAATTAAACTGTCCACTTTTGTAGGGGTATAATGTTTCCATCTGTTGAATGGAATTTCAAGTTTTATTATGGCATTAAAATTAAAATAAGGTTACATGTTTTTTCAGACTTGATACTAATATCAAAATAACTTAGATTTCTTGGATTTAATGGTAAATATTTCTGGATAGTCAAGTAATCTTGTTTTGTGATATTAATTTTATACTTCAAATAATGTGTCACTTTATCTTCATTTGGTTATTAAAAAATAGTATTTTTTTACCTTTACTCAAGAATTTTAATGTGTAATATTTTACAGTATAAAGTAAGCATGTTCTGTATCATGTAGAGTAATCTGTATGCTTTTTGAAAAATTTAAGTATTAATTTATATAATTTTACATGCATTTTCACATTTTTTCCCTCTCTAATTTTAGCTCTATAACTGGCGAAGGTGTAGCATATCTGCAAGCCTATATTGCTCATATAACAGGCAATTTATCTCTTCAAACTGAATAGCAAAATGTTATTGAGGATGATTCCTTTTTATGTTTTGTGCATGGATAAACTAAACTGGGAGTACTAAATTTTTTCCCTCAAACTTTTGAATGCAACATAAACTATATAAGTGTATAATAATACATTTTGTTGCTAAAATACATATAACTGTATTACATTTTGTTGCTAAAACATAAAATGCACTTTGCTTGAATTTGTTTCTCTTAATATTCCTGAAATACAGAATGTGACTTTACTCAGCAGCATGATTGTATAAGTAGTAAAGAAAAATTTTAATATGTATATGCAGTAGCTTGAAAACTGTTGGAAGCTTCTTATTTCTGGTCTTTGAAATAAGTTAAGCTATTTAGTTATCTTTAGTGCGATGAACTACCTGTATGCACTGAATATCTGTAATTTTAGAACGTAACAAAAAATGTTCTGTTTGATGTTCGTGATTCAGTTTTTTTGGGGGGGTGGGGGGGGTAATATTTCAGTGGGGCTTTAAACCATAGAAACAACCATTTTGAATCTCCTTTATTCTTTCTAGATTGTATTGAATATTTTTGGCACTTGATTACTTTTATTCTTTTTCTGTGTAACTGTATGATATAAATTATTTAGTAAGAAAATTTTGTACCACAATCTTTTAAAACCTTTAAGGCTTAGATTAGATGTTTTCAAATCTGGAAACAGTTTTGATTTATCACCTGAAACATACTGTAATAAAAGTCATTCTTAATCATTCATTGTAAATGGAGTAATGTGGTAATGCCATGTTTCTTATGTATTGTAAAATATATTTGATAATCTACATTCATTATGCATAAAATATATTTATTTACTCTGTAATTTGTCATATTTTATAAATATCTTTTAATAGTTTAAAACAATATCTGCATATTTGTCTTCCATGTCTATACATTAAAGCTCATCTCTATATTATAATATGTATTTCCTGTGAACTGTGATATGAATATATTTTGTGAAAATATTTATTAATGTATAGTTATTTAAAATGCAATTTTATATTGATAAATATACGTAGATAAATTATTTATAGAGATTAACATGTTATATCAATTTATCTTTGCAGAAATTTTAATTCTTGTGTCATAAGCATTGCTAAAGAACACTATCCATTATCACCATGATGTACAACTTGCATATTAAAAATGTATTCTCATTCCATATAAAATACTTATCCTGCTAATATGAGTTTCAAATAGTACTTTAAGGCTAGTTGTGTTAAAAACTAAAAAAAAAAAAAAAAAAAAAATTTTTAGAAAACCATATAGTTAATTGAACAAAACTTCAGGATGTATGTGTGGAAAGGGGCAGAAAACAAAGCTACACCTATATACGTTGAAATCTCTCTAATTCACTATCTACAGTTCCAGATGATTTAAGGTTTCTTAGGAGCTGATGTTTAATACCGCTATTTCATTGCATTCTCAGAAATACTGATCGATGTTAAAGGTAGTCATTATAAAAGCTTTACTGTTGTAACTTAAAGAAAAAATACTGAGAATCATTGAATATACCATTTGAAATATACATTTAAAACACTTGTGGGATTTGAATTAATATAATGCATTGTGGATAGTGGAATTTTTTAATTTTTAATTATTTTTAATAGCCATGTTCTTAAATAAATATGCTTATTTATATGGTTATCAGATTAAACTTTTAAAAGTATTCCATAAAATCTGTAATAAAGTGTAGTGTCAACATATAAAACATATATGCATTCATTAAAGGTACTAGTTCTTAGCAATACTAACATGCACACTGGAGATTTCAAGCATATAAAATAATTTGTCGACTTGTGAACATGGAAAAAAATGTAAGAAATAAAAATATTTGAATTAAATGTGGATTAGTTCTAATAAGTATATAATGTTAGCATATAATTTGCATAGTGGTAAAAACATTCAATATCAGCATTGGACTAAAAAATGTTCTAATAGTAGATTTTTTTTAAAACAATCTGGTTTAGATTAGTTTAAATTCTGTATGAGAAATTCTTTTCATGTATGAAAATATTATATGCAATATACATTTTTTAATGCATCCGAATGAATAGTTCTGACAAGAAAAATCCCACAAAATAATCCACAGGAAAAGTCCTCCAATCATGTTTACCTGCACAGATATATCCTGAATGCACAAGAAAATTTTCGAATTAATTTTAATTTCTATAAAGCCAAGTCTTACTTCAAAATTTCATCACTTTTTGTGTGCCTTAAAATAGAAATAAAATCTTTAAATTATGCATTTTGTTTTTATTAATATAAACTATATGTATATGTAACTTTTTATTATATTTAAATGCTGAATAAGTTTGTTAAAGAACAAGTAAAAGAAATGAGTTTTGTCTCCATTTTCCGCAAGGCCTATAAAATTTTTAAGGAATAAAATTGCATATAAATATGTATCATATCTGGAGAATCATTATTACTACATTATAAAAAAATTCAGAAAATTGAATGTATACTAAATTTAATGCTCCAAAATTAAAACTCAAACCTTTTTTCAGTGAAAGTGATAGTGTCCTAGTTTAATGATGATAATATTTGTTTGCACAGTTAGAAATATTCTTGTAACAATGAATTTAAAAGTAAGGTTTAAAATAATTTAGCTAATTGGTATGCTTTTACATAATTTAACATCATTCCCACTTCATATTTTATTGATAAAATAATTATGTGTAAAGTTTTCAGTAGTACTAACATTATTTTGCAGGGTTTTTTTCTTTGTGGGGATTTGATCATGGGGCCTTTTCTCGTGTAATCCTTTAAGTATGTACCAACTATGCATTGTTCACACTGCTACAGTGTATGTCTGTGTTGTGCAGGGATTTGATTATGTAGGCTTTTCTCATGTAGTCCTGTAAGTATCTACTGACTATGCATTGTTCACTGTGCTACAGCCAATGTCTGTTTTATGTTTTCTTTCATTTCCACTGAGTGGAAGAAGCAATTAAAGTAAGGAGAGTTTTGTTTAATTGCTTTAAGTCCATTCAAAACTATGAAAAAAATGGAGGTTATTTTGTACGCCTTGACCATTATTAGCCTTTAAATCAATCGTTTGAAAGTAATCAATACCTATTCTCAAGGGAGAGGTTCAGTTAGAAGAATTGCTGGGAGTAAGTAAGAGCTAAATTTATCCTTAGGAGGATTTTGGAAATTTGAATAAAAAACAGTCAAATCCGAAATTTCACTTGTAATCCATTTTCTATTTTCATTTAATATAGTTTGGGAATTATTGTATCTTAGGATTTTCTTGTATATCAAATATTGTATAAATTGTCAACAACTAAGAAAAGAAAGAATAAAAATATTGTTGTAAATAATGTGGAAATTTTGGCTAGCCATTTAAAAGGGAAAGCACTAGACTTCTAGGCCTGCAAAATAGGCTTGATTGGATTGTATCTTGTTTTGATTGTTATATAAATTGAAACATAATACAGAATTAATCTTTAATGAACCTAATTATATTAATGCAAAATTGTTGTTCAAAAATAAGATTATTAGATTATTTTGAAGAAATGAAATAATAATATAGGAAGAAGAAAAAAAGTGTTTTTAAAATTTATGTAATTTTTTAGAAGGAAGACCTATGATTTCTTGCCATAAGTATCTAATCCAATTTAAAATAGTAATAATAATTAAATAAAGGCAGTATTTTTTAGTTATCATGCGGAAGCTCTTGCTGTACATTGTTGTTCAAAAATTCTGTTATACATGCAAAAATAATTGATCCAATTTTTTTATTAATAACATATAACATATGTCTGTCACATTTCTTGATATTAAAGAAAGTAATTCTGACTACATACCCAAATGAAAAGAAAAATAAAAATTAATGAAAAGTATTTCTGAGTAAAACGGGAAATTTGCGGATTTTGTGAAATTTGGGTTCCAGCTTAGTGAGACAGGTACAAAACATCATTAAAATATACATAAAATAATTATGTGACTTTCAAAACTGATATTTTCTTATTCAGCATTTAAAAAAGTCAGATTTCTGAGTTGATATCAGTGGTTAGTAAATTAAAAATGAGAATTTACTACAGCAGTTTTTCTCACATTCTGTTTAACAGTTGCACCTAATAAAAATAATAAACATATGTATGCATATATATGCGTGGTGTCCTTTTGATTTGGAAATAAGAAATCCAGTATTCTAGACTCGCTTATTTATTTAACGATACAATAAATACAATTAGAGTTGGTTTAAAATATGTAGAAGTTTATGTGAAGACCTTTACTGTGATGGCAGGTACATCTATTGATGGAGAAAGGAGTACGCTCCCATATATATATATAGGATTGGATTGAATTCATTAGATTATGGCAAAACACACTAAGGCTATCTGCATACAAATAGGAGTATCTTCTTGGAGGACCTCTCTAATGGAAACTGGCTCATATTCATGTTACACATGCAGCCAGCCCATTTGCTGGGATTTGAACTCATGTTTAGTTATCTTTTATGTATACATAAGTATGTATCTCTTTCTGCATCTGTATATATATAACAAGAGTGGCCAAACTTCAAGAGAGTAGGAGCCACATGTTAGGATTGAGGATTCAAGAGCCACAACTAGATTTTATAAATGTCGCAATTTCTTTTTACATTGTTTTATAAGTAATGAAGTAGATTTTCATGAAAAGAAACATTTCAGGTAAATTAATGAGAATTTCACATTTTTTTGAGTAATTAATGTGGATGCATATAAATATAAACAAGGAATTTTATTTTTCCTGCTGTATTCAGTAAAATAACTTTCTATGATATATAGATTTCAAACTGTGGTGGTTTAGAACTGGTCTTTTTTTTTTTTTTTTTTTTTTTTTAGACAGAAAGCCAAGCATTTCTCTCATCTTTTCTGCCTCTGTTTATAATTTTTGAATTGTTTAAACAAAAATAAAATGAAATTGAAGGAAAGTATTAGAGTGGTTTTTGCGAGTACAGCAATGTAAGAAAGCTGTTCTTATGAGTGAAGAGTAAAGCACCAATTTTAAAAATATATCCGATGATTTTTCTTTAGTTTTAACTTACATGCTCTTCTCTGGAAGGAATAAATAATTGAAATGGGACAGCATGAGAAACTGCAATTCGAGAAAAGTTTGAGCTTGACAAAGCCAACAAGGATTAGCTGCCGAAGGGGAGCGATGCCTTCGTGAAGAATTTTCTAAAGGAAATTGGTTCATATATATGCTTATCGAGGAAGGAATATTATTTTAAAGTGTTAGCTTTTTTAAAGAATTCTACATAAAAATAATAATTTAGTTTTTCCAATATATAATTGACATGATGAGGAGCAACATACTGAGATAAACTCTAGCCCTAAATATACATGTGATTTAATTATATAGAGGCGAGTTGGATTATCAGTTACCTTTTACTAAGGTTAAGACATTCAAGCCCTCTGAGACTACAAATCTTTGAAAAGATCTGTATTTCTAAAACTCGAATTAGCAGTTATTAGTATTATTATTTTGAATCCTAGCCTAAGATATCGCCGAACTTTTTTAACTCAAAATTTTGGGAGGACTAGTTTTATTGGTTAATTAAAATATATGTGTGATTGTTGCAGTTTCAGTGGTATCTGAATCACTATCATTTACCTCATGACTGTCCTGATGGCATCCGACGAAGTTTGCCAATAATCGGTGCATTACTCTTTTTTGAAAATTCTCAAATTATCTCGATAATTATGGACATAGGAAACTTGGCTCTCAGATGTTTCTAAGATCCTATGTTATATAAACTTGTAGTCACGAAGAGGGTAGGTGATACAGCCTGAAGGTGCTCTGTCTCCTTGCTCGTGTTACTGTGCTTTCTCTGTCTTGTGATTTTGTTCTTGTAAAAGTCACAAAACGTTGGCAAGCAGAACCTGTGTTTAACAAACAATAAAACAGCCTTCGACTTTGCTTATTTTCCTGGCTGCGTTATGGAGCAGATTTTTGAAAACCTGTTCAACGTCATACTGCAAGCTCTTACTGCCTTGGAATTTCAACACGATGGAAACAACCCTGATGTAGAACCTGCAATTCAGATGCTGCAGCAGTTCAATAGTAGACTCTGTAAAAAGCTTTCTTCTCTCCCTCAAACGTTTCAGGAACTTGCAGACTTCCTTTCACTACCTAGCTCTGATGAAACCTCCATGCAAGTTGATGGCTAGAGCTTAAAGCACTAGAAGAGGTCGCTGTTCTTAATTTTCTGAAGGAATCCTCTCACTCAAAACTCTGATGATGACTTATCTGGTGTCAAAACAGTTAAAAAGCATAAAAACAAGGCTAAACAGCGCATTCAACACAACTTAAGGACGTCCCTAGCCAGCCAAGCTCCACCCATACGGCTGAAGATTCGACCGCTAATGCTTACCCAATGACTGGAAGCCATGCATAACGAATCGGATATTTCACCCGGAAATGCCAAAGCCTCCCAGCACAAGCCAACAGAAACGACCTGTAGAAAGCCACGGGTACCTTTAATTTTCATCAAAAAACCCAGATTCCTGTGGAAAGATCTTGAAAAAATGATGGCTAAATATGGTCTGAACGCCGATGATTACAGAGGCGAAGACACTAGAGAAGGAATAAAAATACACATCAGGCAGTCTTTCCTCTACAAAAAAGTGACGAAAGCCTTCCTTGAAGACGGAATCAGATATAGTTTTAAGCTAGAAGACAATTAGAACGTGAAGGTTGTAATCAAAAACCTACCGTCCTATTTTCTACTGGAAGACATCTAAGCGAACTTGCAAGACAAAGACACCATTATCAGTGTGCTTCAACTTAAATGACGTAAGAATGGAGATATCACTAATCTACCTCTGTTCTTAGTCACCGTACCGAAAACAGAGTGCAGCAAGCAAATTTATGATGAAACATTTATTTTATGAATAAAAGAGAATGTGAAACAATACAAAAAAATGTGCGACCCTCGCAGTGCTATCGTTGTCAAGGGTTCTACTGTACGCAAAGCTACTGCATCACCAGCCGCGTTGTGTCCATTGTAGAGATAATCATGAGACTTTAGAAGATAGAATACAAGAGTTTGAAGCCATGAGGCCATCACGGGGGAGGGGAATTTACAGAGGAACACGTGGGGTTGCTACGTCATCAAGCACAGATGCGTTGCATCCTGTTCCTGATTTCATCATGCATTATCACCGGATTATCTTGCTACATCTGCCACATGCTTCATCCCATTTGTGTTGTAATTCGGTTTCATGTCCGCGCTTATCGATTGACTTAGAACTCCCCACTGCTCTGATGTCATACTAAATCCGCATCCTGATTGCAGCATGTACATACATGTTAGGATTTCTAGAACATTCTGTTTAGTTCAGCAACGACCGCTAGAGAATGAAGAATTTTCTTCTCTCATTTCTTTTTTTTATTTTCCTCTTAAGGTTTTCCTTAATGTTTAAAATACTTATTGATGTTACACCTCCATTTCTTGAAGCGTAAAGTTACATATAGTATATTTCTCTGTCTATGAAATTTAAGCTGGAACTTACACGCATATAATTTCCCTTTGAGGCTTTCATGGATAATATTTTCTGTAAATTTAAACCAGTAAGTACGATTTTCCTTCCATATAGCTTACTTATCATATTATATTTCTTATTATTTTTTTACGCTACTAATACTTAAGGTATACAAAACTTTCTCTTCTAATGTATTACACCTTACTATTAACACTTAACGGGTGATACTCCGAACTTTTTTCTAACGTATTATACTAACTCTTTTTGTAACACTGTACAAAAACGTCGCGGATTCTCTTTTACACATCTCATTTTTGTTCAAAGGATTCATGAAACGTGTCAAACAAATGTAAATTTTAAACTTTCTATTTTCCATTTAGACATTTTGCCTTGCATTTAACCTTTATCAGGTTTTTAAAACATATCCCTGTTAATATTCCGATTCTTTTTTTTCCTAAAAATAAATGCATACCTATACGGATTTTTTAAAGATCTACTGTGAATTAAACCTTCTAATTCAGAAATAATAAATTTTCACAACATAAAATCTACTTGAACTAATATATGGACATCTATAGCCAGTTTAGTTCAAATATATACGAAACAATATGAAATTTTTTATTATTGTCTACCCCAGTTTAATATGTACCAACAGCATTTCATTTCATGTTATTTTACACTATAGACATTTACATGAATATATTCTGAACACTCCTTTTTATTGAGCAGGAAGTTTCAGATATGTTACTAACACAGATTGACTCTTTGAAATATTTCACAAAAATATCTTGGATTTTCTTGTACACATTCTATTTAAATCACCGAACATACGTTAAATTTTGATTTCTATCATGTGAAAACTTCACCCGGATTCTTAATGTGATCCCACTATTTACCACAGACCTTCATAAACACTGCTATATTTGTTAATGTTGCTATATTAATTAACCAAGAGTACAACGGAGTACATGTTTAAACTATTTTGCTAACCAGTTATGAACGTTTAAGTAGGATATATCCAGAATCTTGAAAATTAGTAATGAAACGTTCAGATTTTACTAAAGAAGTATCTGTAATAGTAAAATGCTCGTTCAAATTGTGCTGACAGAAGGAAAAAATGTGCCTTTTTTATAATATTCGCATGATATGTAATAAAAGTGAAAGCATGGCCCCGGTTCAGCAATGCAATGCGTTAAGTAAGAAAAGGTTTGTAAACTGAGTTTTTGTCACATACGAAAGGCACTGAAAAAGAGAAAATTAGGAATATATTAGCACTGGACTAGGAAACAAATTTTCAAAGATAATCAAGTGGTATGAAAAATTAATAAAAAAGTATCAACATTGTGCAAAATGTTTCTTCGCAATAACTTATGAATGTTTCCGTTTCAGTAGAATGAAGTCGGAAAGTACAAATTCGGTAATGAAGCACTCATTTTAGCCTTTGAGATTTTATCAAAAAGTGCAATTGTAGAGACATTAGGTATTTTTTGAAAGCAGACAAGATGAAAAATTAGCAATCGCCTTCGCCGGGAATCGAACCACGGACCTCTGGAATACTAGCCCAGCGTGCTACCGTTACACCACGAAGGACTCTAGGGAAGTGGGAGAAATACTTTATGTACTCCTCTTTTTAAAGG